TGTCTGCAGCCTGGGTGGCACACATCACACGCAGCAAAGGTTAAACACAAGGTGCACCTTCTTTGGCGGTGCCATTTGGACATGCTGGATGCAATCAGATTGGGTGCCAGAATCAGGCCGTCACTCTTTATGACCAGGATGCCTCACTCTGTGATAAAACACTGACCTGCTATAAATTCAGATTTACTAAGCATGCAGTGGGTCTATAAAAAAATCAAGCAGAAAATCCCCCATTGGGTCTGTCGGCCATGTCTTGTTCTATCAAATAATGTAAAAATGTAGTGTAAAAGGAAAGTTTTAATTGTTGCTTTTCAGGCAGAACTTAATGACTCTCCTTGGTTCTTTAAAATGGTTGTCTCTCTAAAAGAGGAGAAACAATTAGTTCATTTAAATGATTCTCCTTAAACTTGTAGTAAATATCCCAATTCAAAATACATCATGGCTGGAAAGAGCTTTGTCTATTTGGATATCAAAAGACGTTTGATATAATTTGACCGCGCCCAAAAAGTATGAATTAGGAAGTTAAGAAAAACGCATTTCTGTTCGTAAATTTAGCCGAGAATTTTTTAAGCCAAACACAATGTTTTGTGCTAATGTGTTCATATTAATATAGCCGGCACACAACAGGTGTCAGTCTGTATTATTTACACTTTAAATGTAGCTGAACCTGCACTCCATCACCTTTTTCGGGGGGAGGAGGGTCGGCTCTTGTCCTGGTGAGGTTAGAAACACATCATTAGTCTCCCTTTGGGATCAAATTAATTGATTTCAGGTTCATGTGCGGTTCTTGTACATTTTATCTTCAATCAGTTTATCGTGGGCTAAAACTTTTACAGTTTGTTAGTCATTCAGTCTGGAATGTTTTGAATAGATTGTGAAAAACAGTTTTATTTTAGCGTTTGTAACAAAACTAACTAAGATTAATTTTAGAAAAAACATTTCTAAAGGAGACAACTCAATTATTTAATTATTTTTCTTCCCAAATGCCAATATGTAACATTTAGAACCTTTTACTTTCTGGAAGACACCTGTGCATCGAGGAGAACTGAAATAAAACTGTCAGTTTGATTAATTCTTACTACACTTCTACATTTAGGAGGAAAATTACCCATTTAAATACCAGACAGCCACATGTTTATTTCCAGCACTAAGAAACTGATGACATATTAAAAATGTTCAAAAACAGGGGATTATTTTGTCAGACCATTTTTTTTCAGATACACAAAAAAGCAAAGTTCTGTAATGAAACCTTTTTGCTACACTTAACTATGTTGAATTAATAGAAGGGAATGGTCATTCATGGGATATGTCTTATGCTACTGAAATGAGGACAGAACAGCAGTTAGCCCATTTCTGCAGCAGTAACTATGAGGGGTGCTTAAAGGTGCCATCTGCAGAGACACTTACTGCACCTACAGAAAATACTTTTCTGTTTTGTGAGTTTCCAACTAAATCTGGTCTCATTTTTTTTTTGCCACTTCTTTTTTTTAGCCCTTTTTCTTTCTGCCAAGTTCAAAGGTGGGGATTCAGAAACTTAACATTTTCGAAAAGCAAGATGTGTTTTTCTATCACAACAACAGTAAAAAAAGAAAAAGTAGAAATTGGTTGTGTGGATCACATGGAGTTAACGGAGTTTGGTTTTATTCAGATTTGTGGATAACTGAATTGTCTTTTTCACACACGTTTGACATGACATGCCTTATCATTAAAGCACTGAATCGTTTACATACTCACTCATCAGCAGACCTTAGTTCAGAAACTTTGTGTGTTTTTTTAGCATCTTTATGGTTTTGCCTTGAGTTGTACTTCTTTTATTCTGACTAAGCAGCTCATCTGTTTCTATTTAGTCTCACAGCAATTGTGTCAGTATTATTATTGATAGTGAGTGATTGTTTTAATAAAGACTAGAACTTAAAATCCTTGAAAGAACCATAGGACCACAAAATGTATTTTAATTTACACACACACACACACGTATGTCTATATATATATATATACACACACACACATTTCTTGAAAACAAATTGGTAAAAAAGACGACAAGAACGAAGAAGAAGAAGAAGGAGAAGAAGACAAAGAAGAAGAATTATGTGGTTTGAAATGGTAAATTGCAACTATTGGTGTTTCAGTGTTTTAATTCATAATTAGTTAATAATATCCGATTTTTAAAAGAACAGAATGATATTCAAATAATAATAATAATAATAATAATAATAATAATAATAATAATAATAA